ATATCTGGAACTGCCACACGTGGGGAGACTCGGATGTGGGGCGGAATCTCCCCACAGCCACAAAAAAATCAAATATGGGAAGTGTCCTGTGAGGCCACACTGAAATCCCGGCACAAAAGGCACCTGCACTGCCCACCCACAGGAACGCCCCAACCAACAGCGCAGGGAAATCACCACAGAGCCCAAACTGCTGAAAAGATACATCCTGACCTCACCACCAATTGGTTGTTCACTCTTCATTTCAAAACTTGGTTAAAAATAAAATCCACTGGTGGTGTTTTGTTACTTATTCTCCTAAACACAGATGCGGCGGGGAAAAGCAGAATTGATGTCCCCTCATTGATGTCCCCTCCCAGTACACGGACTCAGCACCCAACACTGAACACCTGCTTTGCTCTGTCAGTGAAATGACACTGAAAACACTTTGGTTTCCACTTCTGCAGTAGCAAATACAGTAATAAAGGTTCTTTGCTGAGATGATCTTGTACCACATCAGTTCCAGGAAGAAAAACACACGGGGAAAGACAGATTTGATCCCAGTCTAATCAGCAAAGCTTTGTAACCCAGATAGAAAAAACACACAGCCAGAAAACTGCTCCACAAGCTTTGGACCACATGAGAAAACTGCTGAGCAGCTCAGTACACTCCACTGCAGAGCAAAGTACTTCAGGCAGGGTGCTGAAAGCCTGGCTGGCTCTTCCCATCCCTCAAGAACACAAGGATCAGGACCTGAGGGAGCGCTGGAGCTGTGCCAGGCCTTGGCATGGAGCTCAGGGAAAGGTTCTTCCCCCCGAGGGTGCTGGCACTGCCCAGGCTCCCCAGGGAATGGTCCCGGCCCCGAGGCTGCCAGAGCTGCAGGAGCGTTTGGACAGCGCTCTCAGGGCTGCTCAGGGTGTTGGGGTGTCTGGGCAGGGACAGGGGTTGGATTTGATGATCCCTGTGGGTCCATTCCAGCTCTGCACATTCCAGGATTCTGTGATCAGTGCAGACAAAAGAGCTCAGAGCTCCAGGCCTGGAAGCAGCTCTGGGTTCAAAAACATCCACCTCCAAAACAGCCCCTGACAGCATCAAACCAGCAAACCAGAGCTGCCTACCTTAAGATATTTATGAAGAGCTGTATTATACCTCTTTTATGTCTTTCAGCATACTCAGGACCTCGACTTTAAAGAGAGACCTATTTTTCCCCTCTACAGCTCTTGAAAAGACGCTTTTAGGACTGAAGGCAGCTCTTCCCTCCTCCTTACAGCGCAAGCTTTCAAAGCACTTCACACACATTCAATAATCTTTTCATCCTGCTCTGAAGCAGGTGGGTTTTAGTCATCTCAGAGATGGAAAAAGCACTTCAGCCAAGTCAGGATGAGAATTTGCAATCTCCAGATTCCCAGTCCTGGACAGAAAACCCCATCAGCCTCAGTGCTCAGCCAGCACAGAATTTTCACAAACATCCAAGTCAGGATGAGAATTTGCAATCTCCAGATTCCCAGTCCTGGACAGAAAACCCCATCAGCCTCAGCCAGCACAGAATTTTCACAAACCTCCAAGGCACCCACATTCTGCTACCACACAGGCAGATCCCTGAAATAAAACATGAGAATATATTTCCCACACCAAGCATTCCATGTTTCAGACCAAACGTGCCCCTCACTCAACATGTTTGTATTTACAGATCTGCTTCCAGACGGGGAGGAAAGGGAACTCCTGCCACATCCAGCAGCACTCAGGGAAAAAGGAAAACTCAGTCCTGCTCCTGGAGATCTCCAAGGGGTTCTGCACCACTGTCCCCCAGTGTCTGGGAGCACACCAGCACTGTGTGTGCAAAACAGGGGTCATGTCATGAATACCTGAACCTTGGGAAGGCTGGAGTGGTGAGGGTGGGCAAAAAAAGGGGGGAGAACAGTGCTACATCCCACTAATTCCTGTTTCCACATCCTCTCTGCTCCATCTGGCACGTGCCCATGGTCCCCCCTCCCACAACCTGCCAGGGCCAGTTCCACTTGCAGTTTTCAAAAGCTCCTTTCAAAGCTACAAAATTGCACCAAGTTTAGGGTTCCTGCCAATCCTCTGGTGATCCTCAAACATCAAAGCCAGCCCCAGCCTCGAATCAATATGCTTATCAGGCTGCTCCTTTAGATGTTATCCTTTTTTTTCTAGGCACCATCCCAGAAAACACCAATCTGGGCTGTAGCTCTTGGTGTAGAAACCCTCCTACCTTGGCAAAAAAAAAAAAAAAATTACATTTTTAAAGCTTCCCTATCGAATGATATCATTAAATAGGTCAGACCTGCCCACGTGCATGGTTAGGAGGCTACTTCAAAACAAGACAGGCAGTTCCCCTGGCAGGGAGCAGCCCTGGGGGATGGAGAACCTGCTCCCAGAAGATGGTTGCTTGGTTCTGGCTGAGCTACTACACCCTCTAGTGTAAATCCTACAGATCCTTCCAGGCCAGGAGCCTCAGGAAGGCAGGGAATGAGAGGATTTAACCAGAATCCTTCCAAGGGAGCTGAGCCAAGCACTGCAAAATAACTGCAAAAATGTTCCTGCTCCTACAGGAATCAGGAACATTTTGTGACCTGCTGGAGTCTGTTCTAAAAGCCTGAGATTGCAGCAGGTCCATTGCTCATCTCCCATTTCTCAATCAGAATCCCAGAATTCCAAAATGGTTTGGCCTGGGAGGGACCTCAAAGCCCACCTAGTACCACCCCTGCCATGGCAGGGACACCTCCCACTGTCCCACACTGCTCCAAAATTCATCCAGCCTGGCCTTGGGCACTGCCAGGGATCCAGGGTGGGCACCCTGTGCCAGGGCCTGCCCACCCTGCCAGGGAACAATTCCTGCCCAATCTCCCATCCAGCCCTGCCCTCTGGCAGCGGGAGCCATTCCCTGTGTCCTGTCCCTCCAGGCCTTGTCCCCAGTCCCTCTCCAGCTCTCCTGGAGCCCCTTCAGGCCCTGCCAGGGGCTCTGAGCTCTCCCTGGAGCTTCTCCTCTCCAGGGGAGCACCCCCAGCTCTCCCAGCCTGGCTCCAGAGCAGAGGGGCTCCAGCCCTGGCAGCATCTCCGTGGCTGGTCTGGCCTGGCTCCAGCAGCTCCACGTCCTCCTGCTGCTGTTCCCCAGGCTGGGGCAGCTCTGCAGGTGGGAGCCAACAGAAATCCAACATTAAAAAATGTCTGGAAGCGAGCCCTGAGCTGAGACAGAACTCACAGATCCCTGTAGTGCCAGCCATGCCATGTGCTGCATGCCAAGAGTTTGGGAAAGAGGCAGGAACTGCTCTGAGCTGACTGCAGGGAGCAGCAGGCAGAGCCTGAGCTCGTCATGTGCCTCTTTCACAAGTGCAGAAACTTCCCCTTGGGAAACCAGGCCCACACTGGGGGCTTTAGTTGCCAAAAAAACTCTTCTCTAAGTGCTGTAGATTAGGTTGGATATTAAGAAAATATAGAATAGATTCTATATAAGAACTTCTATTAAGAAATAAGAATAGAAAATAATATTCTATTAAAAATATAAGAACAAGAATTTTTATTGAGAAATTCTATTAAGAAATTCTATTAAAAATCTGTAAAAAATTCTATTAAAAGTCTATTAAAATCCTGTCAGAATTTCTTAATTCTCACAGAATTAAGAAAATAGATTTCTTTCATAGAAAAAGTTGTCCATCACTGGAAGGGCTGCCCAGGGCAGTGGTGGAGTTCCCATTCCTGGAACTGTCCAAACAACGTGTGGATGTGGCTCTAGAGAATATGGGCTAGTGGTGACTTGGTGCAGGCCAAAATGGGCAATTCCAGTTCCAAAACTGACACTCCACTCAGATATTCAAAGACATGCAGGAACAACATTCTGAAAGATAATTATAACATCATCTAAAGAACCATCCTAAAGCATTCTAGGGACCTTTTAAAATTCAAAAGAACACCAAAATTGGCAAAAAAACTTTTGTCTTTCTAACAATTATCTGCCTGTGACAGCCCTGAGAATGCTTGTTTGATTTTAAACTAAATTAGGTGGTAAGCTGGCCTGGTAACCAGGATTCATCAATAATTAATCCTCTTCCAAACTTGAGAGCAACCCAAAGTTAAGTAAGCACACAAAAAAACACAAGCTAGGCTTTGTTTTGGCAATCTCTGCTTCAGATTATTTGAGACTGTCCACACCAGCATTATTATGCCATTATAGCTAACAGAAATAACAAAGCTTTGAGAAAAAAAAACCCAACAGGGTTCTTCTGGGGAGAAGAATGACGGCTTTTTTCTCCCAATAAATCAGCAGAACAGCAAATAATGTGCATAAATAAAATGACAAGAGCTGCTGGAAGAACGAACAACAATAGCTCATTATTGATCCTTGTGGGCCCGTTCCAACTCAGGATATTCCAGGACTGCCTGATTCACTGGTTTTTGTGCCAGGCTGCCTTTGAGAAGCCTGGCAGTGCCCTGTGCCCCACAAGCTCCTGATGGGGGGGTCTGGCTGCCCGCAGCCCCACGGAGAAGGCGGAGAAGCCGCACGGCGGTGCCTCCTGACGGCATCTAACGGGAGCTGTCAGCGCTCTGGAATCCATCCGGTGCTGCCGCCCAGCGCCACGTGAGCCCGGTGCCCGGAGCGACAAAGAACGGGATCACGGCAGAACCCTCCTGCACCGGCGCTGTCCCGGAGCCCCGGGAAGCTGCTCCACAACACCCGCCGTGCAGCGGTCACGGCGGGGGCCCACCGGGGCCGCAAAGCTGCTCCAAAGCCTTCCCGGACCGAGGGCGAGCTGACAGCCCCGGGCACGGCACACGCTGCCGGAGCCGAGGCACCGACAGCCCCGGGAGCACCGCAGTGCGAAGGGGCCGGCGGGGCGATCCCGCGGTGGGCAGGCGGGAGAGGAGCGGGCCAGGCACGGGCCTGCCCTCGTCGTGGGGAAAACACACCGGGCGGGGGGAGAAAGCACAACCGGGACGGGAACAGCCGCAGCCCAGGACGGGGTCGCGGGAAGCTGAGGGGGCACCGAGGCCGGGCCGGGCCGTACCTGCGCCGTGTCCGAGCGGGAGCCCCACGCTGGGGTCGCCCGAGGCTCCGGAGGCTCCGCACGGTGCCGGGGCCACCGGGGGGTGCCGGAAGTGGCAGTAGGGCCTGCGGCACCCCCGGCCCGGCCCCGACCCCCCGGCGTTTAGGAACGGGCAGTCGATGCCGCGGAAGTAGCCGGTGGATCTGAGCATCCCGCCGGCTGCGGGGCGGGAGCGGGGCCGGGCGGGCGGAGGAGCCGCAGGCGACCGGGACGCGCTCCCGCCTCACACGGCCGGTACCGGCGCCGCCGCCATCTTGGGAGCGCCGGGCGCGGCAGTGAGGACCCCGCGACGCCGCTGCCCGCACTGGGCTGCCCGCGGCGCGCCTGAGAGCGGGGCGGGGCTGAGGGCGGGCGGGAGCGCCCTGAGGGGGACCCGCGGCGGGGCGGGATCCATCCTGTCCCCTCACAGACATGGCAACAACCTCACACTGGGACTGTTCCACACCGCAACAACCCCACCGTGAGACTGTTCCACACCGCAACAACCCCACCGTGAGACTGTCCCCTCACAGACATGGCAACAACCCCACACTGGGACTGTTCCACACCGCAACAACCCCACCGTGAGACTGTTCCACACCGCAACAACCCCACCGTGAGACTGTCCCCTCACAGACACCGCAGCAACCCCACCGTGAGACTGTCCCCTCACAGACATGGCAACAACCCCACCGTAAGTCTGTCCCCTCACAGACACCGCACAACCCCGCCCTGGGACTGTCCCCTCACAGACATGGCAACAACCCCACCCTGGGACTGTTCCCTCACAGACACCGCACAACCCCACCCTGGGACTGTCCCCTCACAATCACCCTAACAACCCCACCGTGAGACTGTCCCATCACAGACATGGCAGCAACCCCACCGTGATACTGTCCCCTCACAGACACCGAACAACCCCACCCTGGGACTGTCCCCTCACAGACATGGCAACAACCCCACACTGGGACTGTTCCACACCGCAACAACCGCACCGTGAGACTGTCCCCTCACAGACACCGAACAACCCCACCCTGGGACTGTCCCCTCACAGACACCGCAACAACCCCACTCTGGGACTGTCCCCTCACAGACACCCCAACAACCCCACCCAGCACATTCCCGTATTCCCAGCATGGACCACCATGGACCACTGGCCCAGCCCCCATCCTGCTGCCTCCAGCATGCACCACCAGCCCCAGCCTGGATCAATCCCCATGGGCCACCATGGACCACCTTCCCATCATAGACCACTTCCCCAGTCTTAGTACACCCCACTGCTTCAGCGTGTCCCAGCTTGGGCTACCATGGACCACCAGCCCCAGCACAGCCCCCAGCCCCAGCATGGACCACCTCAGACCAGCTGCAGGAGGTCCAGCAGCTCTTGGGCCTCCTGGAGAGCAGCAGGACACTGAGCGGGTTTGGGCAGTTGTCAGAATCTGAGGTATTGATGATTCCCAGATTGTAGAAAGTCTCTGTCTCTGTCTTCTGCCAAAGAAGGAGCCAAAATTCGTCTGTGCTGTTTCAAGGTTGTTTATTCTGTTTATCTCTAACATGTTCTGCTGCCCTGCCGCAGCTCTGTCCTGCAGGGCAGCGTGTGGGGCTCTGCCCTCAGTGGGATGGTACAAACATTAAATACCACAAACTACCTGTGCTGGATTTACAATAACGTGCCAATATCTGTCACCTACGTTGGACAGTGTGTCCCCAGCCTAAACCAACAGAAAAATGCCAACACCACAGTGAAACATGGAGGGCATGAAGAAGGAGAGAAAGGACAAGGCACACCCAATTTCCTCCATCTTGTCCCCTCTGAACCCCTAATCTAGAAACCTAAAATTTTACTTTTTCACCCGTGCCACACTTAATTATTACTTATATCAAACACTCAGAGCTGGTAATTCATCCTGTAAGATTGAAAACTCTTTTCCATGGGCAGAGATCACAGCCAGTGTCTCTGGGGGCTCTGTCCAGGGGGGTTCCTGACCCCTGCCAGGGTCCCAGAGCTGCCAGGGCAGCCAGAGGGAAGCTCTGGGTTCCCACGGAGTGGAACCGGACACGCCAGCCTGGAGAGACAGGATGGTCCAGGAGAGATGGGCAGCTCAAGGGCAATGCCAGGAACAATTGGATGATGCAGAGAAAGGTGCACAAGGATGAGTTGGCCTTGGCCAAAGGGAGGGACAAGGGAAAGATTGCAAAAGTTGTGTTTTGTAATAGTCTTAAGTGAAAAAACCCCTTTGTTTTCCAAACCAGGCACATGCTGCTGCCTCCCACGGCATCCCAGCAGAGTCCAGAGGAGAGGAACCCAACACTGAGCAGAACCAGCAGCTGCTGACCCTGAGGAACCTCAACAATCCCTAAAAAGCTTCTAAAAAGCAGGAAACCCCAGGAGACAAGTTCCTTCCCTCGGGCAGAAACCTCCTTTGCAGGTACGGGGGGAGGGCTGTGCTGAGACCCCCAACCTCACCTCCCCTCCCCACCAGGCCTGGGAGAGCAAACTCATCTTCCCCCCACAAAAACAGAGTGGTTTTATTTGTGTGGTGTGGTTAAATCGATTTTATAGAACTTCAGCTGGAACAGAGAAGCTTCAAGATAGATACACTCATAAAAGTGCAGACACGCGGGGTATTTCCCTGCTTTATAATTCTCATCCTGTGCTTCTTGAACTCACAAACCAGCAAAATATAATAAAATAAAATAAAGTTAAAATAAAATAAAATAAAATAAAATAAAATAAAATAAAATAAAATAAAATAAAATAAAATAAAATAAAATAAAATAAAATAAAATAAAATAAAATAAAATAAAATAAAAATAATATAAAAGAAATAAAAATTATGTGTCACAGGGTGACACACCAGAGTGTGCTGGGTGACAGTGACACAGGGACCTGTCCCCTGTGACAGGAACACACCACACTGTGCTGGGTGACAGTGACACAGGGACCTGTCCCCAGTGACAGGGACACACCACACTGTGCTGGGGGACACAGGGTGACACAGGGACCTGTCCCCAGTGACAGGGACACACCACACTGTGCTGGGGGACACAGGGTGACACAGGGACCTGTCCCCAGTGACAGGGACACACCACACTGTGCTGGGGGACACAGGGTGACACACTGTGCTGGGTGACAGTGACACAGGGGACAGGTCCCTGTGTCACCCTGTGTCCCCCAGCACAGGGCCTTCCTCCCATGGGGTCACATCTTCACAGGGATGGGCTGGCCAGGGTGGTGACATCACTCCCAGTACTCCCAGTACCTCATCCTGGTACCACCCTACATATAACACCCCCCTGTCCATGTTCCTTCCCAGACAGGGGTTTTCTGTGACACCCCATAATCCCATCCACGCCCTGGGGTGATGGCCTGGCTGCTGCCTCCCTCCCTGCCCAGCCCCTGCCCCAACCCACGGGGTACCAACCACCCTGGGGGATGCTCCAGCTCCCTTTGGGGTGTCTCCAGCCCCCCACAGTTCTTCTGACACCCCAAAGGGACGCTTTGCCTTCCCCAGGGGATGCTCCAGGTCCCCACAGGTGCTCCTGGTACATGAAGGGGATGCATCCAGCCCCTCCTCTGGGATGTTCTGGTCCCTTTATATGATTTTCATCCCTTGGGATGTTCCTGGTGTCCTGAGGGGTGTCCTGAGGGGATGCTCTGGCCCCTACAAGACAATGCTGTGCCACCACGGGGATGCTGTGGCTTTCCAAGGGGACATTTCAGACGTGTCAGGGTGTCCAGGCGCTGTCACCGCGGGGCTGTGGGTGGCAGCCCGTGGGCCTCCCTTGGCCGTCCCAGCCTCCAGGCATCGCTCAGGCATAGGATGACAAAGGGAAGCTCACAGGGGGCAGCGGGCCCGGGCCTGCGGACAGAGGAGAGAGTGAGGGGACAGCAAGAGCAGGGGGAGCTGGGGGGTACCATGGAGCTGGGGAACCCCAGGAAGCTGAGGGATCCCATGGAGCTGGGGAGCTGGGGGGTCCCAGGAAGCTGAGGGATCCCATGGAGCTGGGGAGCTGGGGAACCCCAGGAAGCTGAGGGATCCCATGGAGCTGGGGGAACCCCAGGAAACTGAGGGATCCTGGGGATCCCATGGAACCATGGAGCTGGGGTGATCCCAGGAAACTGAGGGATGCTGGGGATCCCATGGAGCTGTGGTGACCCCAGGAAACAGGGATCCCATGGAGCTGGGGAGCTGGGGAACCCCAGGAAGCTGAGGGATCCTGGGGATCAGGGAGCTGGGGGAACACCAGGAAACTGAGGGATCCTGGGGATCCCATGGAGCTGGGGTGATCCCAGGAAACTAAGGGATCCCATGGAGCTGGGGAGCTGGGGAACCCCAGGAAGCTGAGGGATCCCATGGAGCTGGGGGAATCCCAGGAAACTGAGGGATCCATGGAGCCAGGGAGCTGGGGAACCCCAGGAAACTGAGGGATCCCATGGAGCTGGGGGACCCCAGGAAACTGAGGGATCCTGGGGATCCATGGAGCCGGGGGGCTGGGGGAACCCCAGGAAGCTGAGGGATCCTGGGGATCCTATGGATCTGGGGTGATCCCAGGAAGCTGAGGGATCCTGGGGATCCCATGGAGCTGGGGAACCCCAGGAAACTGAGGGATCCCATGGAGCTGGGGAGCTGGGGAACCCCAGGAAACTGAGGGATGCTGGGGATCCCATGGAGCTGGGGTGATCCCAGGAAACTGAGGGATCCTGGAGATCCTATGGATCTGGGGTGATCCCAGGAAGCTGAGGGATCCTGGGGATCCATGGAGCTGGGGAACCCCAGGAAGCTGAGGGATCCTGGGGATCCATGGAGCTGGGGAACCCCAGGAAACTGAGGGATACTGGGAATCCCATGGAACCCCAGGAAGCTGAGGGATCCTGGGGATCCCATGGAGCCGGGGAACCCCAGGAAGCTGAGGGATCCCATGGAGCCGGGGAGCTGGGGAACCCCAGGAAGCTGAGGGATCCCATGGAGCCAGGGAGCTGGGGTGATCCCAGGAAACTGAGGGATACTGGGGATCCCATGGAACCCCAGGAAGCTGAGGGATCCTGGGGATCCCATGGAGCTGGGGGAACCCCAGGAAACTGAGGGATCCTGGGGATCCCATGGAGCCAGGGAGCTGGGGAACCCCAGGAAGCTGAGGGATCCCATGGAGCCAAGGAGCTGGGGGACCCCAGGAAGCTGAGGGATCCCATGGAGCTGGGGAACCCCAGGAAACTGAGGGATCCTGGGGATCCATGGAGCCGGGGGGCTGGGGGAACCCCAGGAAGCCGAGGGATGCTGGGGATCCCATGGAGCTGGGGAACCCCAGGAAGCTGAGGGATCCTGGAGATCCTATGGATCTGGGGTGATCCCAGGAAGCTGAGGGATCCCATGGAGCTGGGGAGCTGGGGTGATCCCAGGAGTGCACATCTGTGTGTGTGAGTGCACATCTGTGTGTCTGTGCAGGGTGTGCACACCCCTGAGTGTGTGCACACGTGTGCAGAGGTCCCTGTGTGCACACCTGTGCGTGCACATACGTGTGCTGTGTGCACACAGCCGTGCACAGGCAGAGCCGGGTGGGGCCACCCCATGGATTCCTGCCCAGGCCCAGGGTCCCAACCCAGCCCAGGGGCTCCCAGGGGCCACCACTGCCACCCCTGTCCCCAGCCCCAGCCAGCAGGGCAGGGCTGGGTGCCCCCCCGGGTTCTGGGTGCCCCCCCCAAAGTTGTGGGTGCCCTCTCAGGGTGTCCCCAGGGCTGTGGGTGTCCCCGGGGCTGTGGGTGTCCCCAGGGCTGTGGGTGTCCCTGGGGCTGTGAGTGTCCCCAGGGTTGTGGTGTCCCCAGGATCGTGGGTGCCCTCTCAGGGTGTCCCCAGGGCTGTGGGTGTCCCCAGGGTTCTGGGTGTCCCCAGGACTGTGGGTGTCCCCAGGGCTGTGGGTGTTCCCGGGGCTGTGGGTGCCCTCTCAGGGTGTCCCCAGGGTTCTGGGTGTCCCCAGGGCTGTGGGTGCCCTCTCAGGGTGTCCCCAGAGCTGTGGGTGTCCCCAGAGTTGTGGTGTCCCCAGGGTTGTGGTGTCCCCAGGGCTGTGGGTGTCCCTAGGGTTGTGGGTGTCCCCAAGGCTGTGGGTGTCCCCAGGACTGTGGGTGCCCCCGCCCCCTGTGCCCCCTGTGCCCCCTGTGCCCCCTGTCCCCCTGCCCGTGTCTCACCGAGGAGGTGCCGCTGTTGTCGTGGTGCAGCCGTGGGTGTGTCGGCCTCTCACAGCTCTGCGCTGCTCGGGGCGGGGGGACACGGGCTCTGCTCCCCCAGATCTGTCCCCATAGCTGTCCCCACTGTCCCCACTGTCCCTGCTGTCTCCACATCACTGGGCAGACAGGGCAGAGCCCCTCTCCTTGTCCTTCCCTGCCTCCTTCCCTCCACCTCAGCCAGCGCCGTGCTCTGCCCCTCACCCTGACATCCTTTCCCAGCCCAACCACCGATGGGATCCTTCCCTCTGCCCTTTTATACCGTCTTTGTTCATATGACAAGCACGTGGAAAACCAGAGCAGAGCTTGGAAAAAAGCTCCTTAAGATGCTTTAATTCAGTTTCCTGCATCCCATGACTGAGCTCGGCCTCTGAACGAGGTCTCATGACGGTGGCACGCAGGGCCCGGCCATCAAAAGCCTCATTTATGCCCCAAATGAGACTTAAACCCCTCTTGGCCGGTCACCCGATGTCCCCCATGCCCAACCTGGGCCCCTGTGCCCCCCTGGCTGGGGGCTCCAAACCGCTCAGAGGGACACCTGCCCTGCCCCTGCTCTGCTCTGGCTGCAGGAGGGACTTTGGGGACACTCAGGGCCTTGGCTCTGCCTGTCCCCTCCGGGGAAAGGACACTGCAGAGTCCCCTTCCAGGGACCAAAAGTGTCCAGCCCTGTCCCACAGCCAGTGCCCTTCCTTCACCCCAAACCACAGCACCAGTGGAGGGGACAGAAGTGTGATCCCAAAGGGGACAGAAGTGCCATCCCAGAGGGGACAGAACTGTCATTCCAGAGGGGACAGAAGTGTGATCCCAGAGGGGACAGAAGTGTGATCCCAGAGGAGACAGAAGTGCTGTCCCAGAGGGACAGAAATGTGATCCCAAAAGGGGATAGAAGTGTGATCCCAGAGGGGACAGAAGTGTGATCCCAAAGGGACAGAAGTGTGATCCCAGAGGGGACAGAAGTGTGATCCCAAAGGGACAGAAGTGTGATCCTAGAGGGGACAGAAGTGTGATCCCAAAGGGGACAGAAGTGTGATCCTAGAGGGGACAGAAGTGTGATCCCAGAGGGGACAGAAGTGTGATCCCAGAGGGGACAGAAGTGTGATCCCAAAGGGGACAGAAGTGTGATCCCGAAAGGGACGGAATGGGATGGACCCAGCAATGTCCATCTCCTTGGACTCTCATATTCCCGACCTGGCTCTAGACTTTGGGGATCAGCCTGAACTTTACTGACATTTTGCCTTTGTTTTAAACGGAGACACAGCAAAAACAACCTCAACACCCCTCAGACCCAACAAACTCTGAGCATTCCTGCTGGCAAGGCAGAGCTGGTCTGCAGCATCTGCAGCTCAACAGGAAACAGGAATAAGAGGATAAAAATACTCTGGGTGCACACAGAACGTCTCTGTGCCAGGATTAGGGAGCCCTGGGACAGTGGGGCCAGAGGGAGCGGGGCTGGGTGGCTTTGGCTCCCAAACCACCTGGCCACTGCTGGCAGAGGGATGGGGAAGGAAGGACTGGGGGGATGTGCAGGGAGAAGCCAGACATCCCAGCTCCTGGAGCCCAAAATCCCCCTGGAAATGAATGAGGCCCCCTCCAGAGCCATCCACTCCTCTTCCAGCACCAAGGAAGGGTCATCCCTCCTCCTCTCCTGGGGGAAAGGAGGGATGTGTGGGAAGCAGGGGGTCCCGTGCCCCCCACCTCAGCCCCCTGGCCCAAACAATGGGTGTATTGGAGTGCTCGGAGCAGAGGGGTGGGATGTGGTGAGGCCCCCCTGCCTGGCCCCTGAGCCCCTAAGGAGATTAAATCCCTCCTCACATGAGCCTGGCGGGCCCCAGGGCCCCGTGTGGGGACAGGACACCGGGAGGACAGGGAGGGGAAGGGCAGGACAGTGTTTTGCTGTTCTCCACCTTGGCACCCGTGATCCCCCCAAATGACACAGGACAGGGGAATGGGTTCCTGTTGTCCCCAAGTCACACAGGCCATGGGCCAAGGGCATCTTCCCCGCTCTCGTGGGCACCTCGGGGCTGCCCAGTCCCCAGAGGAGGGTGACAAGCACTGGGGATCTGGCCCAGGGCTATCTAGGGAAGGTGCTGCCCAGGGGGAAGAGGGGGCCAGACATTCTGGGGCTGGGGAGCCCCCAGGGGTAGCATGGAAAAGGCACACAGGTGAAACGTTAAACCTCTGCTCTTTATTTGCTGCCTGCTTCCCTCCCCCCGTTCCCGGGGAGGTTTTCCAGGGGTGACCTGAGCACCAGGAGCGCTCTGGGAAGGCTGAGCAGCGCCAGACTGGAGGAGGTGTGGGGCAGGGGGCACCTCCTCCATGCATCCCCATAGTCCCCGTGGGGACACGGCTCTGCCCCAGCAGCGCTGGTCCCGGGAAAGCTCCGTGGAGAGCAGGAACTGCCACCTCCCGTGTCCCACGCCCAGGGACAGCGGGGACAGGGCCCCAGCCCCTCCCCAACTCGCCTTATTGCTATGGTCAGAGCAGCAGAGCGGCCGGGAGGGACTCGGGGCTGCGCCGGTTTGGGACAGGAGACGAGGACGTGTCTGAAGCCAAGGATCCACCATGGGAGGGTGGGCTCGTGTCTCTGGGAAGGGGCAAGGAGGGAGCTGCCGTCTCTGGCCAGCCGGGCTGGCACCAGCAGGGAGGAGAGCTGTGCTCATGTCCCAGAGCAAACACCGTCCGTTGCAGGGCCTCCTGCCCTCTCCTGAGCCCGGAGCTGAGGCTGAACAAACTCGTTACAGCTCCAGCAGCAGGGACTGGGGAGAGCTACTGGGAGAACTGGAGGAACAAGCAGAACCCCCCTGCCTGCCCCCTGGCTAGTTGCGTTGGCTGGCCAGCTCCTGGGAGATGAATTTCCGAAGGCGCTCGAGGTACTGGCTGTAGAGTTCAATGTCATTGTGCCCGGCCCCGTCCACCCACAGCGGCTCCACGGCCTTGGGGCAGCGCTCGAACAGCGCCAGGCCGTGGGAGAAGTCGATGACTTCATCCTCTGTACCGTGGATGATGAGGACAGGAGAGGTGATTTTGGAGATCTTCTCGATGCTGCCAAGAGGGTGGATGGGGAAGAGAGAAGGGGTAAGCACAGGGAATGAGACATTTCCACTCCTCCTGCCCCCCAAACATCCCCTGGGAGAGGGACCAGGAAATGCTCTTTGATCATGGCAGAGCACAGGGAGAGGGGGAGACACAGAGCTTCTGCCAAGGAAAAGATCTGCCCCGGTGTGACAGACAAGGAGCAGACAGCAGTGACAACATCCCCGTGGGAGCTCGGCTGGGCTGATGGGAACTGCTGCAGGACAGCCCTTCCCCGTCAGGCTCTGAGGAAGGGAAGCAGGGCTGGTCCCAGCCCAGTGCCAAAGGCCACGTGAGGCCACCAGGATGCAGAGCGTGGGCTGGTGGCTCCCAGCCACAGCTTCCGGCCCGGGGACTGTCCCCTGGGCCCCACGGGCCTGGCTGCAAGGGAGAGGCAAAGGAAGAGCTGCTCCTCACTGTACCACTCCTGCCATCTGAAGAGCAGGAAATCCTCAAGGAATAACTCTTGGGGGACAGAGGGGTCGCAGGGACACCCAGGGCTTGTGACACCTGACGAGGAGCCAGCAGCACAGCCCCTAAGCTGGTGGGCAAAGTCACTGGGACAATGTGGCCAGGAGGTGATGCCACAGGGGACTGGGGTACACACACAGCACAGCCCTCAGGAGGGGGCACAGTGACCCCAAGGGGAGCTACAACTCCCAGAGGGCATCAAATACAGCGCAAGATGCCAAAGGGGATGTTTAAACTCACCACAAAAATGGCCCACATGTGACATGTCCCCTGGCTGTGACCAGAGCTGGTCTGGGCACTGCCCCTCCAAACCCCCCATGCCCTGTGCCCGTGGCACTCACTTGGGGAAGGCATCGAACCAGTAGGTCTTCTTGGTGTCGGGGAAGGCGACGCGCATGCCGGAGGTGAGCGGGGAGTGCAGCACGATGGCCGCGCACTCGTAGCGGGAGGCCAGGTCCACCGTGGGCACCGTGCCAATGCTCTGTCCGTACAAAATGATGTTCTCGGGGCTGATCCCGTACCTGGCAGAGGACAGGGCAGCTCAGGGGACAGGCACATCGCCAGGAGATACAGCTATGGGGTTACTCTGCTCCAGTCACTGTCAGCAGGGTCTGGGGTCTGTCCCCCTGATCGTCCCCAGCTCCTCATGGCTGGGCCCAGAACAGTTCCTTGTCCTCACAAAGCACCAGGGAGCAGCCAGGGCTAAGCTGCCAGCTGAGTTCTGGGGGTTGTCAAGGCTTTCCCTCACCAGGTCAGGGTTATAGGGTGTTCAAACCCTAAACTGCAGCCATGTGGGGCAGCTCCAGCTCTGGGTCACACATTTAACCAGGCCTGAGGAAGAGGAGGCAGAGCCTGGCACAGCGAGACAGGCAGCACAGCCTACACCAAGGTCATGCCCCACAGCATCCCTGCCCCTTGCATCCCCCAGCTGCTCCCTCTAGAGTTTTCCAACCACCTCAAGCAGCCCAGGGTTCCCTTTCTGGGAGATTTCCCGTTTCCCAGCCTGCTGGAGGCAGCAGGGCCGTGCTCCTGCCCCGCTCACCGTGTGCGCAGCGCCTGCCACGCGGCGTCGATGTCGGAGTAGAGGTTGCGCTCCGAGGGCCTGCCCGTGCTCACGCCGTAGCCCGAGTAGTCGTAGGAGAAGATGTTGCAGTTGATGCGGGTGCCCAGCCCGATGTAGAAGCTGCTCATCTGGCCCAGGTCCACGGCGTTGCCGTGGGAGAAGAGCACCGTGTACCTGGGACACGGGTACAGAACATTGAGGGTACAGATTACGGAGCTCCAGCACGGATATCCCCAAGGACAGCAACCAAACCCCGGCACACAAAGGGTCAACACCCCTCTCACCACCTGGTGACACCCCCAGGGACACCCAGACCAGGGGCTCACTCCCAGCAGGAACAGGATGATGATTCTGTTCAAGTTTTTGAGTCTATTTTTGGTTAAAAGCTCAGGATTTGGGGCCGTTTGCCCAATGGGGATTTCAAGTAAGAATTCTGACAGCGGGTTTTTTCTCTCCTGAGCCTGGCAAGACACCAGATGCTGAGAGAGAAGTGAATTGTGGGAGTGACAAGGCACAAGAAATTACCACCATAAGGGGAAAAACAATGTTAATCATAAAAATTAGCACTAATAGCAGATTGATGGGAGCTTGGCTCCCTTCTGCCAGAGGGAGGGAGCAGGACCCACTCCCTGCTGAGCCCCTGCAGCTGGTCCGAGGGGTCTGTGACCAGGCTGAGCCTCTGATCCTGGCCTGGATGCCCAGGGAGCCCCAGCTGGAAGTCGGTGACAGGAGGAGCTGCAAGAAGTCACGACATCCAGCAGCACCTGATACCCCACGGTTTGGTAGGCCTGGTTTCCCCAGCCCAGGTTCTCCCCTCCAGCCTGGGATGCTGGTCTTTGAGGACCTGTTGTTCCTGGGAGGACACAGCAAAGGGGTCAGCTGGGGTGACCTGGCCTCCCTCTGCACCTGAACCCCCAAACTGTGCCACTGCTCAGGGAGCAGCTGCCCAGTCCCCTCCTGTCTCCTCTGCCCAGGCAGTGGCAGCAGGAGGGGGTCTCCATCTCACACCCCACCAGAGTGACCAAACCCCTCGTGGCTTTCACCCCCATCACTCTTTTCCTCGAGGAACCAAAAAATCCTTGTGAATTTGACCAAACCAGGTTCTCCTGGCTGGCACGGGCAGCTGCCCATCCCCATGGTCACCGCAGGGCTGGGGATGGGGAGGAGCAGCTGGTGCAGCCACCCTGGTGCCCCCTGAGCACCAAGCTGTGTGCAAACAACTGGAGCATTGCAGGGGACAGCCTGAGGAATCCCTGCAGGTCTGGCTTTGCCTCTGCTCCTGTTTAGCCACGGTCCCAGTGCGGCCACAAGCCAGAGCTCAGCTTGCTCATCCCACCTGACACCTCCAAAGCAGAGCCAGCTCCTCCAGCTGAGGGGGCAGAGGGGACAGGAGCCCCCAGGGCAGCCCCAGGGCAGAGCAGAGCCCACACCCAGTGACTCACCTGGCGCCGGGCACGCAGCGGACGTACATGCAGCCCACGCGGTTCCCCCGGCTGCTCTTGGTGACGAACACCTCGATGTTGTCCAGCTCCCGCTGGGAGTACTGGAAATCCGCCCTGTCCTTCAAGTGCAGCTTCCAGCGGCCCGCGGCGCCCCGCAGGGAGCCCGTGCTGCCCTCGGGCTCGGGCACCATGGCGTAGGTGGGCTCCGGGGGCAGGAAGGCGAGCTTGGCCGCGATGCGGCTGGGGCAGGGCGGGCAGCAGAACAGGCAGCAGAGTTGGCTGATCGACAGCCCGTTCATGACGGCGTGAGGCGGGAGGGGAGGCGGCTGCGCCCGGAGCGAGGGAGGATCCGAATCGGCCTCTCCGGCAATGACTCGCCGTCCTCAGCCGGCCCTGGGCACGGCGGGCAGCGGCCGTGCAGCGCGGGCCGGGGCGGGCGGCGGGGCTGCCGTGTCCATCTGTCCGTCCGGCGGCGGCGGGGCCCTGCGGGCAGGCGGCGGCTCTCAGGGCTCTGTCACCCACGGCCGGGGACAAACACAGTCCCCACACCGAGCACACGCAGCCCCCACGAAATCACACCTCCTGCCCACGCGGAGGGGGCGAGGACAAGCGCAGGATCCCACGCACAGCACCCCCGCGGTGATGGGACAAAGGACACGGCTCCCCCGGGGCCACCCAGGAGTGCCGAGCTCCGCAGGAAAAAGGGGAAAGGGGAGAGGAAGGGGAAAAGAGGGGAGAGGAAAAAAAAAACCGCAACTATTTTCTGCAAGTTTGGGCACAGGCTTGAGCTGAGGAATGTCAAACCAGCCCACACCCCGAGGAATTCGCTCCATCTGCTTCCCAAGGCCTGGGAAAGGGGAGGAAGGGGTGGAAGAGGGACACGGCGCTGAAATGTGCCAAAATACTGTGAGCGAAGGGATGCCCCGGGGGAGCCGTGTCCATTGTCCCATCACCCTCGGGCCGGTGACCACCCACAGCAGGGCCAGGGACAGGCCACACCTGGGGAGGTGGCACCAGGGGCCACTAACACCGTGTGTCACACGCACACGCTGGGACAAAGCCAGGCACCGGCTGGGGACACCGCGTCGTGGGTGGCCAGCCCCGCCCGGCCCCTGCCCTCGCCCCACGCCTGCTGTGGGGCGTGACCCACCGCACACACACCGACCCCACACCCATCGAGGGGGGGATCCATGCTGTACCCACTGACCTCTGTGGGACCCCCACCACGGACTGGTGGGTGCTGCCCCCTCCTCTGACAGGCACGGGACCCCCACCCTGACCGCACAGGGGCTGTGGGACCCCCACCCCGCACACACATTTCCCTCCATTGCCTGCTGCGGACCCCCCCAGCACTGACCCCTCCCCACAACTCACCCCTACCCCAGAGCGGTGAGTTCTCCCCCTCCCTGTCCATCGCGGCCCTCCCACCTTGCAGACAAGCATGGAGACCCCCATCTCCCCTCACTGATCGCTGAGGGACCCCCAAACACACACTGAGCAGTGGGACCCTCCCCGATCACTGTGTGATCCCCACCCCCGACCTTTTCGAGACCCCCGGCTCCTGAGGGGTCCCCACGAGCCCGCGTGGCTCTGCCCCTGCCCCGGGACACGCCGCCCACCGGGAGCCTGTCCCGCCTGTGGGGGGTTTCACACACCCTGCCCGGGCTGGGGGGAGGAGGGTGGGGGTGGTCCCACACCCCCACCGACCCGCGTGGGCCCCCCAAACCCTTACTAACCGCCGTGTCCCCCCCTCACTGACCACTGTGTCCCCCTCAAACCTTCACCGACCACCGTGTCCCCCCTCAGTGACCAGCACGGCCTCCCCCGCGTGCCGCGGCCTCCCGTACCTCCGGCCCCGCGGCGGGACCCCCCAGCCACACACCGTGAGCGCCCGGCCGGCGGAGCCCGCTCCCCGCGGGCTGCCCCCGTGCCCGTGCCGTGCCCCCGCGCCCGTGCCGTGCCCCCGTGCCCCGGTGCCCCGGTACCTGCGCATCCCCGGCCCCGCTGCCGCTGCCGAGGCCCCGCGGCCGCTGCGGCCTCCCAGGCGGGGGTGGCGCTGCGCCCCGGCCGGAAGTGACGCCATCACCCCGCGCCCGTTGCCATGGGAACAGCGCGGTGCGGCCTAGCCTCGCTGCTGAGTCCTAAAATCCCAAAATCCCAAATGGCGCTGGGAGATCATCCAGCCCGGCCTCGCTGCTGCGTCCCAAAATCCCAAATGGTGCTGGGAGGCACCTCCTGAGATTATCCAGCCCGGCCTCACCTCGCTCCTGCATCCCAAAATCCCAAATGGCACTGGGAGATCATCCAGCCCGCCCTTGCCTCGCTCCTGCGTCCCAAAACCCAAATGGCGCTGGGAGATCATCCAGCCCAGCCTCGCTGCTGCATCCCAAAATCCCAAATGGTGCTGGGAGGCACCTCTGGAGATCATCCAGCCCGGCCTCGCTCCCCGCGTCCCAAAATCCCAAATGGCGCTGGGAGATCATCCAGCCCGGCCCCGCTCCTGCATCCCAAAATCCCAAATGGTGCTGGGAGGCACCTCTGGAGATCATCCAGCCCAGCCTTGCCTTGCTGCTGTGTCCCAAAATCCCAAATGGCGCTGGGAGGCACCTCCTGAGATCATCCAGCCCGGCCTCACTCCTGTGTCCCAAAATCCCAAATGGCGCTGGGAGGCACCTCTGGAGATCATCCAGCCCGGCCTCGCCTCCATCCTGCGTCCCAAAATCCCAAATGGTGCTGGGAGGCACCTCCTGAGATCATCCAGCCCGGCCTCGCTCCTGCGTCCCAAAATCCCAAATGGGATTCCCAATGGGATCCCAAGTGGGTGGGTTTGGAGTGTCTCTGGAGAAGACTCCACCACCTCCCAGGGCAGCTGCTCAGTGCTCTGCCACCCGCAGTGTGAAGCCCTTCCTCACCTTGAGGTGGGATTTCTGGTGGTTTAGTTTCGTTTTTGGCCATTGCACCACTGAAAGGAGCCTGGCGCTCACGTTGGAGGTGTTGATGTAGATTGGTGAGATCGTCTCTTGTTGGAAAATACACCAAGTTTATAATTTTTATTTCCTAACTTTAGTCACGCTTGTTCGCCTTGTCCCGGGGGAAGGGAATGGAAGTTTCCCTCCAAAGCGTTGTTCCACCAGGAACAATGAGGAGTTCGGGGTTGAGAGATACAGATAAAGGCCATCAAGGGCCATTGGCGAAACATCTGCCACCATCTGCTCCACACCTGATAAGGAAATGCAAATTAGGAGTGAAGACCTAATTAACATCAGAGGCCAGGAAATCCATATCCAAGAGAAAACCAAGCATTAAGAACTGCACGAGTCGGGACCAATGAACATGAAACCGATGGATTTTCTATGGGTTTGGGACTGTATAAAATTTGACAAAAATCTAGGAGTTTGAGAAAAATCATGGAGGAGGAGGAGGAGGAGGAGGAGGAGGAGGAGGAGCGCATTGCCACCTTGCCAAAGTCAGTGGCACGGAATGAACGGGCTGCTCGGCACGGCTCCGGAGCTGGGCTTGGCTTGTATCGATGTCAATCTCCGTACTTATAATCTCGAGTGTAACTTCTGAGCTTTTATGACTTTATAATGTCTTATTTTATAGTCTTTTTTGACAAACATCCAACATTCTCAGTCTACTCTGGATTAACCGAGCCCAGCTCCCAGTGTCTCTGCTCCAGACCCCAAATCACCTTTGGGGCCTCCACTGGACCCTCTCCAGTAGCTCCTTGTCCTTCTTGTCCAGAACAGCAGCCCAGATGTGCCTCACTAGGGCTGAGTAGAGGGGCAGGATCCCTCCCTGCCCTGCTGCCACACTCCTCCCGATGCCCTCAGGGTCCCAGTGTCCCCCCTGGCCCCAGGACACTCTGCTGGCTCAGGGACAGTTTGGCATCCCCCAGGAGCCCCAGGTCCTTCTCTGCAGAGCTGCTCCCCAGTGGGTCACCCCCATCCTGTGCTGGTCCCTGGGGTTTTTCCTCCAGGGGTGCAGGACCCTACACCTGCCATTGTTGAACCCCATTGTGTTTGCCCCCTCCAGGCCCCTCTGAATGGCAGCACGGCCTTCAGGAGAGTCAGTGAGTCCCCTGAAACCTGACCAGGTCCACTCTATCCCCCGCAGAACCGAGCAGGGCTGGAGCAGGTACCGATCCCAGATCCCAGATCCCTCAGCCAGGCCCTCCCTCCGTCCATTTTCCCTCATCTCCCATGTCCACCTGCAAAGATGTCACAGGAGGCAGCGTCCAAAGCCTCGCTGGAGTCAGCCCTGGTGCCAAACACTGCCCGAATGGGGAGGGGGGCGGCTTTGGGGGCCTGTCCCAAACTCCCTTTCCTGCCCCACGGAGGTGACAGCAAAGAGGGAACCCGGGAGAACCTCAGAGCCCCTCAGACCCAGCCAGGGCTCCCTACTGAGCCAATCCCAGACTCATCAGGGTTGAAGTGACCTCTGGAGATCCAGCCCAGCCCCTGGTGGAGCTGAGATCAGGGGGGTGCAGGTCTGGGGTGCTCTGATCCCCAGCCAGCACCAGGTACTGTGAATGATCATCCACAGGTAAACTGAGGCACAGAGCCCCACAGCCACCCCAAAAGAGCCAAGCCCAGCCCCACAGGCATCCTGCCTGAAACAGAGCACCCACAGCATCCAAGCAAACTAGACTGTGTTGTATTTACACTCATGGACAGGGAGGGAGAACAGGGAAAAGGGCGGTGCTGGAGAAGCAGGTGGCTGTGGGCTTTCCCAAGGGATCCATGGGAGCTGCTGCACTTCCTCGGGGCTGGTGGGCCAAATTCCTGCATCCCCTGAGGGGGAGGGATCAGGCAAACCCAGCCTGGCCACCACCAGCTCCGTGCTGGCCCAGGTGTGTCCAGGGCTGACACGTGCAGCCACTTGCATGCTCCAGACATGTCAGTGTTATCCAGAAGGAAAATCCTGAGGAAAAGGCTGCTGAGAGGCAGCCTCGCTCCTCTCTGTGGCAGTTTGGGAGGTTCAGATGCTGCCAGCAGCAGCACAGGATGGCAGCTGCCACAGAGCACACACTGCAAAAACCAAACACTCCAGCACCTGGGCAGAACTGCCACAAGCAGGGCAGGAAAACAGCCTTTGGAAGGAAGGAGCTGCTGAGGTTTCCCCAGCTGTGCTGACACCAAGGGAAATGTTTCCAAAGCGTGGGATGGCCAGCAGAGTGGGACAGAGGCTGCTGCTTGTCCCCTGGGACGCATCTGGGTTTCTCTGCTTGAGAAAGGCAGAGCTCCGTGGGCACAGCCTCACTCCTGCTGTTCCCAGGAATCCCCTGGGCATGGAGGAGGCTGTGGCTGTGCCCCAGGAGCCCCTGCCTGCCTTGTGCTGCATCCCTGAGCCCCAGCTCCTCCCAACAGAGCCCTCCAGGTGCTCTTTCTGGAGTGGTACTGAGTGGCATTTGGTTTTTCCCACACCTCCCTTCCTGTGTGTGAGTGAGAGCAGCCCCAGAGCCTTCCACGTGCCTCTTAGGGTGCTTGAGGCCTCTGAGCATGTTCACTGTACCCCAAAGTTCTCCTTCTGCCTTTCCTTGCACCCCAGAGCCCTCCCTGGGCCTTCCAGCACCTCAGGGAATTGAGTCTCAGTGAGCCCAGAGCCCTCCAGGCACCTCTCCCTGCTCCCTGGGTTTCTCCATGGGTGTTTTTGAGCCCCCACCTGGACTTCTGGGCGCCCCAGGACCCTCCTGGTGACTTTCCCTGTGCCCCAGTTCCCTCTGTCTGGCTTGCAGAGCATCTCCTGGGGACCTGGCCCTGCCTCTCATCCCACAGGGAGGGAGGAGGCAGAGGAGGGCAGCTGGGTGGGCTCCCCGAGCTCTCCCCAGTACCAGCATGGCCCACATGGCAGGAGGGGACCCCACTGTCACCTGGGTGCAGGGACAGGTCCAGAAGCAGAGGCGTGGGGACCTGAGC